GAAATAACAACATACCACCAGTAGGTGGAGCTGCACAGGGTTTAAAATTAGCTAGCAGACTACAAAAATCGCAGTGTAAAATCTCCAATTCACTGAATTTTTGCTGGCTACTTTTGCTGTGGCCCTGTTGTACTGGGAAGTGGGAATTTCCCACTTATACTTAACGCTGCAATGCTTTTTCAGTGGAGACTCCCTGTTGGTAAGAGATTTCAAGATGGCAGCTACTCACCACAACTCAACAGAGAGTAAAACGCCCTTCCTGTTTTCCTTTTAATAGTTTTTCTGTATTATTTGTTCCACATTTGGTCGGTACACTGTTTCTATGCAGAAAATATCAGGTAGAGCTCAGTTATTGATTGTTAGCGGTGCTCAGCTGTAACAATGAGATGAGTATTGTGACATTTTTATAAGATGAAGTTGCTCWTGTGGCCCTTTAAGCACAAACAGCTGAATATAGTATTACTGCAGGAAATTGTGCACAAAGTTTGACCAAAATGCTTTTAAAATTTCACTGTAATGGAGATGGAGCTGATGCAATTCTGTAGGATGACAACAACAGTGAATAAATCAGCAGATTCCTTGTTTTTTATAAGCATACTCTCTTTAGACTTTCTCTTTAGACTGTATTGCAACCTTCAAAAGAGCATCTTCTCTATTTTTTGCYTTGCAAATGTTCCCCTCCATTCTCTGTTACAGCAACTCTGCCTTCTGAATGTCACAGCTGAAAGCAGCCATAAAGCTCTTACATTAAAAAAAAGTTTCTTGGAAAAGCAGTTGTGGCAGGAAATAGAAAATAAATCTGGGTGCATATATCCATTATCAGGGCACGTTATCGTCAGAAGGGAGTCTGCAGAGAGAGAGTGGAAACCAGCCCGGGTCTCTATGTGAACCGTGAGATAGGGGGAAACCAATTTTCACCTCCTTCCCGTGCGTCCCACCAACACACCACTTCATTCAGGGCCTTGCTAAGTCTGCAGCAGCAGAGCTAAATCATTTCATCTAAATAAGCTGGCCAAATGTTTTACACCTCTGCATATTACTGAGAGGCGATAAGGTGCTGGTTCACCATTCTCTCTTTTTCTGCTTTAAAAAAAAATGGAGACGGCGTGAGGGCCGTAGATAGAGCTCGCAAAAAATAAGACTGAAGGAGTGTTTCACAAAACCCTGCCACTCCTCGTGCCCTTGACGATAAAACAACAAACACGCCGTATTTTATGTTTGYGTTAAATATTCCCATGTGCGGCCCCCTCTATGACAGCTTATTCTGAGGCAGATTTATCACAATCCCTATCAGCTCAACTCTGCAGACAAAAAGGCGCACGGCTCCCACTGTAGCATGCCGACGCCTGCGGCACAAGACGAAGCGCACGATCAATACAAATCTGCAGTCTGTACATTTGAAGAGGAGTCGTTTGACACACATCCTTCCAGCTGACGTACGTCACGCCTTCTTATTTAATTAGCTCTCTGAAGAGCCAAACGCACCTCTCCTAGAAGAAAACAAAAACAAARAGTGTCCAGGGTAAACGCCGATCCTCTTCTTGTGATTCAGGAAATCAGCATGCAGATTTAAGGAAATATATAATTAGTCTTAATGCGGAATAATGAATRTCCCTAATTTATCTTCCCGTAGGAACAAATATAGACTCGTTCAGCTGCCGTTTAATTACAAGATAACTCATTTCGGTGCAAAAAAATAAATAAAATGGAACCAGCTAAAGCTTCCATCTGGAGCTGGAGGTGTTTACTGAAGTTTCTGCAACAAACGAGTTTTATTTTAAAGTTTGAAGATAAAACACCACWTTGTGACAAACCATGTACGACACTTAAGGCCAGGTATTATCAGTATGCAAACAAGATCAAATAAACACACAACTAAGACTACTTTTATTCATTTATGATGATTATTTTATTTTACTTATTTTTTGCAAGAACTTTTGTGAAAATACGCGATTAGCAATTTATATGCATTTCAATTAGACATATGATGCGTTTAAAGCCTTTTTACATTTAAATCCTTCAGTTGGGTCTTTRTAATGTAGAACTGTAAAGTTTTAGTCTGAATTCATTCTTATTTTAACTTCAYCAGCTCCTCTTTCACCACTTTTCTGCTGTGTGTCTCAAAGCAGCTCGTTTTGTTACTGTTCCTTTAGGACRCTTCAAGCCCCGCCCCCCTCCTGCTTCCAGACCGGTCCGCTCTGGTTTGAGAGGGGGTTACGTTTTATTTACAATTCAACTGAAAGATGTCAGCAACAGAAGACTTGTCCATTCATCCTTATATGTTGGAGCCAGAGTCTGACCCAGAACCAGAGTCTGACCCAGAATCAGAGGAGAATTAAGACCAGGAAATTGTAGTTGGTAATAGGGCTGTGTATTGGCAAGAATTTGGCGATACGATACATATCATGAMAGAGGGGTCACGATACGATATATCCCRATATATTGCGATACTGTAAGCAAGACGATATATTGCGATTTCTTTAGTCCAAAAATTCTATTAAATAAAAACCTCTTACTGGAAAAAAAATGAAAAACCAAAATTCATTGTCTCAGAAAATTCTAATATTACATAGACATACTTTTGATACATTTAGCTGTTTTCTGCTTTGTATGCGTTTTATTTTATTTGTTTCATGTTTCTTATTTCATCCATGTTTTCAATTATTAGACTAAATTTGCCAATAAATAGTTTGGAAATATATTTTTTGCAGCTTTTAGTTTTTAATATTAATTTACAATATGGTCACCCAACACTTAACAATGGCTTCTACCTCAAGAGGTAGAGGAGCCAAATGGCTGGCTCACTGCTGCCAACTAGTGGTCAGAGGCTGAACTACAACATAAAAATGAACGGCTGGCAGGAAAACTGACATTTTAAAACTTAATAAAAAATCAATACAGGGCTTTAGAATATCGATATGGTATCGGGAAATGAAATATCGCGATATTTCAGTGTATCGATATTTTCTTACACCCCTAGTTGGTAAGTCCAGACCTTATTTGGTAACCCTAACCCTTGTCTGCCTCTTAGAGACTCAAAGTCCACAACAAAATGTATTTAACAGCTAAATAATTTGGATTTTGCAGGATATGTCTCCTTTAATGATGTTTGAAAATCATCTGGGGACCCATACTTGATGTTTCGTGACCCACAGAGGGGTCCTGACCCCAACTTTAGGAACCACTGGCCTATAAATTTAAGTAAGAATTTAAAAAAAAATCACAATTTATYCTTCGTATTATATAGTAAGTTTTACTTGTTATGATCTTGTGATTCCTGCCAAAGGTGTACAGCCTATTTATTTATTTATTTATTAATTATTTAGAGGGGTCACCTAATTATTTAAAAATAAACAGAATATAAAAAGAATGCGCTTCTAAGTAAGCAGGTGTGAAAAGTTTTTCCTAAAATCAGTAACAATTGGTTCATGCTAGACAAAACTTGTCCAATAATTAATTAGTGTCCAAAAACAGTGATTATATTCATATTTTTGGTGTATTTTAAAGGAAATACTCAACTACCAAACCTGATGAGGACTTTAAACATTAAAAATGAAAGAAACAGGAGCATAAAAAACACTTAAAGGCAAAACAAAACTCCAGGCAGACAACAAACGAAGCAAAGAAATTTAAATGAAACATCAAATCCTATTTAATTTTTTTACAATTTTGAAGCTTTTCTTATGGATAAAATTACTTAGGTTAAGTATTATAAAGTTAAAAAAATACGACTTTATAAGAAACTATTGGTCCAGTTACCTCGGGACACTTTGCTTCCCCCTGAGGAAATATTTTCCCAGGTAATAACATCTGTCAGTGTGATGTGAGGACAGGGATAAGATAACATCTCTAATCTGAGATGTCAGCTTGATTAGGGCTGTTTAACGCACTCAGAGTAATTGTCAGAACACGGAAAACATTTTACATTTAGAAGCAGCTGCGCRAGATATGAAAGATGACAGACTTTAGCCTCATTAATGCTGTTAGCAGCCCTGACGTGATAATGACCTGCCAACCAGCAGCTGATCAAACTGTTGGTTACCTGTGTGACAGCGTGAGCTCATCTACCTGTTTATTAGAAAGAGCTGACTGGAGTCTGCTCATTCGATCTGATGGTTATTCAGCAGTTACCTGATCAGCCACACRGGAAWGTATGGAGAAAAGGGCAAAAGTTTTCAGCCATGCTAGGCTAATCACTAGCCAAGTTTTTAAATTGTCTCTCAGGCTTTAAAAAAACAACAATTTCTCTGTGTAAAARAAAACATTAGCTAATACTAAACACTGATGTGGCACCAAGTGTAAAATAAAATGTCGCTAACACATTTTCATTATTTAGCGCACTTTCGGAGTGTGTACTAGCACGTTATCGTTATATAGTTCACTGTTCTTACACTTTAATTATTTTTGAAGGTTAAATTTTAAATGTTAGTAAATGTTAGGTCCAAAATCTAAATGTAAAAATGTAATCCTGAATGTTAGAGCTTAAYATTTAAGAATTTSAGAATGGAACACACCCTTAGCTGTTGGTGCGCGGCTCTTGTTTCGTTGTCGTCATCCCGCGGAAAAAAGGTAACTGCTAATGCTCCAATGCAGCTAACGTTGCTGAAGATGGCATTTTAAATTTTGATTCAAATTTCATTGAAAACAACACGGGTGTAACGTGTGGTCCGGCTGTTTGAAGTGCAGCTCAGACACCAGCCCCAACATTAGCAACATTAGCAACATTAGCAGCATTAGCAACATTAGCAGTATTAGCAACATTAGCAACACTGGCAGTTAAATTTTGAAAATCTTAAATGTAAACTTTAACATTTAGCCAAAACATTTAAGATTTTACTTTTACATATATATATGTACACATTTAGGTTTAACATTTAAACATAGCCCTGTGATGGACTTGCGACCTGTCCAGGGTGTAGCCCGCCCCTCGCACTGTGACTGCTGGATATGGGCACCAGTGACCCACGTGACCCTGAAAAGGAAGAAGCGTGTACAGAAAATGGATGGATGGATTTAAACATAGCTAGATTTAGCATTTTGCAAATACTTAGCAAAYGTAAGAACAGTGAGCTAAATGTGTTAGTGACGTAAACCCCAGTTTATCCGTGTTTTCTCAATAGAACAAAGTTGAAGTCACAAATGCATGTGTGTCATTGTTGCATGTGTGTCATTGTTGCTGCTAATTGCTAACTGCTAATTCAGTCTTGTTTAACTGAAAGGGTTTAGTTACAAAACAGTGTAGCTAATGAAGCCGGGTTTTTTTCACTTCTGTGTTTAAGAGAGTTGATTTTATAAGCTTAAAAAATAAAAAGCTTAGCCTGGATGATAACTTTTTCCTCTTTCGCACCATCATCCTCTATAGCTAATAACTTGACAAAATATCACTTTAAAATGACCAGACTATCACTTTAACACATCTACATGTGTTTTTTTCCCCTATAAGACTTCTCCAGCTCAGAAACAAAGTAGGGATGGGGGGTACAGGCCTGGATGAAGGGCACCACAGTGGGGGTTTCTCTTCCCCTGCTCTCATTTATCCTGCCTGGCCAACAATTGACCGATCAACCTTTCAGTCCAAAGTTCACCGCTCTGACCTTTAGCCCGGCCCGTTTCCGTTGCTGAATGCATATGTAATCCTGCCAGTTGGAAACTAAGGAGAAACAGAGAAAGCAACATTTGGCCTCGAGCTCCCAGCGGCGCGACCAATCCGCCTTCCTCCAACAGAGATCTGACGCCGGCGTTCCAGCCGAGCGGCTTTCCTCTCGTTGCAACATCGCTGCACAGCGTCCCGCCGTCCTGATGGACTCTCCACCTCTCAGGCTGAAAATGAAAACAGTTTTTCTCCTTTTGTCTGGAGTCAAACACTTTTGGGGATTCATTCGGAGAAATYGACTCACCTTTCTTCCTTTTTCCTCCCAGTTGGGGAGATATGAGTGASTGGACTGGTTACGGACAAATTACCCCTTCGGGAACATGTTTGTGGAACGAGAMCACCCGAGAACTGGAGGGACACGTGACAGCATGTGCTTCAAACAGTGGAATAATAATGACTTAATAGAAATTGGTAAGAAATAATAAAATCTAAGATGTTTTAAAGCATCTGGCTGATTTTAGTTTTGCTTTAAGGCAGTGGTTTTGGGCTCCTGAAGGTTCTCGTCCAGTTCCTGCAGCGTCAGAATCATTCCTGCAATTTTCTAAAAGCAAAATAAAAAGTTTGTTTCTTAACCTGGTTCACGTGATTAAATCTCAGTTTCTCCTTCAGATTTTGAACCATCGTTTTGGTTTTTATGTCACTTGGATCTTTGCTGTCTGTTGGAATAACAGCTTGTTTTAGAAACTTGTAAAACAAATGTTTCTGTGTCTCACTTCCATCTGAAAGCGAGAAGATTTTCACCAAGCTGCTGTTAAAATTTCCATCCGCTTCAAAACAGTTATCTCCATTTTTTATAAAGAAATGTGATTTTTTTTAAAATTATACAGGAGCTACTGTGTCAGAGTTTAAAGTGGACATAAGATTTTAAATAATTTAGTTCTGATGAATATTAGGCAAGACAACTTTATTTACACAGATCCTTCCAGCCAACTCAAAGTTCTTATACAGAAAGGTTAAAGCACCTCCATGTCCTTCAAACACAAAAAAGTCAAATAAAACATCTTTAAATTTAAGAAGTTTGCCATAATACACACAATTTAACCAATTTTGTCACTTAACTGGCATTTTCTTTCTAAWTGGGCTCAAYCAAAGTGAAACAGGAAGTGACAWCAGAGGGGAACTCTTTTCGAAAAGGAGCTTCCTGGTTTTTGTTTATTGAAACTATTTGAACTTCTATAGTCTCTCCGACAGAGACCTCAAAATAATCTAAAGAAGCAGATTATTTTCTGTAGTCTGTGTTGCAGCGATGCTCTGCTCGAATTCAGACATTCCCCTGTGACATCACTTCCTGTTTCTTCACACGCGAATACCTCAAGGACCGTTCGAGTCAGCGGCGTGAAATTTCTTCTACAACACGTGATCGATGTTTTCTTTCCAAAAATTAGTTCATGTTTCTTACAARCTTTGATGTCACGGGCACTTTAAWAGAATAAAACAAACAGACAGGGTGGGAGTGGTCCTGACAGGACAAATGTTTGGTGCATAAAAACTGAAGATTGCTTCAACGTGTTTTGTTCTGACTCTTGGAGTAGTTGGGCTTGATTCAGATGATCTTAAATATCTTCGTGGTTTATAGTAGAAGATCAGAGATGTAGTCGAGGTTCTGGCTGGAGCTTTGTAAACCATTRGAGATTTAAAACTCAATAGGTAGCTCACAACTGGACTAGTGTGCTGATCTCTTTGTTTTTGTAAGGACTCTGGTGGCAGCATTTTAAAGAAGCTGAAGCYGTCTTATTGATTTGTTTTTTRTAGTTCKGTGAAAACAGCATTGCAATAATTGAGTCTGCTAAAAACAAAAGCAAGAACTAACTTTCCACAATCCTGCGTGACATCAGCCGTTTAATTCTGCCAATGTATTTAAGGTGAATTTTCTGTCTTTATGATCAATTTAATGTCAAGAATCAGATCAGGATCCATAATCAGCCCTAGRTTCCTGTTTGTCGGAGCTCCTCAAACCAACAGACTGAAAGTGTGCACTCATTTTTAGTGGATGATCGTTTGATCCAAAAACTGAAACTTCAGTTTTATCAGTTGCACTGAGTCATTTTAATCTTGTTTTGTATAAACTTTCTTGTTTTAATCAAGTCCAGGGACAACAGATGAAAAATAKCCTTTGGCTWATGTCAATTAATGCGCATTGTCCCTTCAAAATAAATTAAATTAAAATCTTTACTTAGCTTAAGAAAATGTTGAAACATACACGTAAAGTGGAACAGCTTCAGTCTGATTTTTKTTTGGTTGCAACTCGTTTTGGTGCTGTCTCTTTTGATGCATACCTSCCCTTCACCATTTTTGTAGTTTTGTTAGAGATGTGATTAAATAGCAGGATGGAAACTTTTATTATTTATAAAGTAAATAAAAGTTCTCAACAAGAGACGACTTGTCCATCCTGCTTTACATGTTGGACCCAGAGTCTGACCCAGAGTCTGACCCAGAGTCTGACCCAGAGTCTGACCCAGAGTCTGACCCAGAGTCTGACCCAGAGTCTGACCCAGAACCAGAGGAGGATGAAGAACCTGCAGAACTACGGACTGCAGCAAATAATGTTATTGTTCAATAACAGAGAATAAAGACAACTAAACCAAAWGAAAAACATGACCCAAACAGAATATAAAGATATCTTTCCCACAGGGAAATCGTCAAGATGGCCGCCATATTAGAAATTGACAGGCCGATTCAAGATGGCCGCCACGACCCAGTTTCTGAGATATTAGAAGACAACGGACCGATTCAAGATGGCCGCCGATTGGCTTTAACTTAGTCCTTTACAGAAGAGGAGGTAAAGCTGATGYTAGTAGCTGAGACTTCTGGGAMGTGGATGTGGCGGCCATCTTGAAATAAAATTCTCCTTCCTTAGGGGAACTTTTCTACATTTAACGGGCCGAGCTGTGTGCAAAAACTTTTTTTAAGCTCCTGTAAACTTCTCCAGCTGAGCGACTTAACTCATCCGGTTACCTTTAACCTCCATCATCTCACTCGTTTTCCCAGGYAAACGTTGTAACGAGTGACGTTTCCAGACGATGAAGCAAGTGCTGCTTCGAGTTTGAGGCTGGCGGAGGAGCAGGAAGTGAGCTGCCTCTGGTTTATCCCAAGTTAAAACAGCATGTGACATCATCCCCGTGTTATTAATTTGTACGAGGGGGACGTCTGCCCTGTCATGTGCACTCAGTTTCACCACCACGTAATTGCATAAGCGAACAATGCGAACACGAGGGGAATAAATCCGCTGCTTCCTCTCTGTTTTTCTTTTTTCTTTTGGGTTTTCTGTCAGACGCTGACGGAGTTTGACCAAAGCGCTGGTCTGAGGGAATCAGTTTGTCTTTTCTGAGGGCAGACTTTTGTCTCGTCTGAAGTCTGTTAATTGCTTYGTCACGGAGGAAAAGCAAAATCTTGCGTGTCACGTCGCGCCAGGCGCATATTAATTGAAGGAACGCCGCAGAGCAAAGAGACTGACCGAGATGTTTTATTAACGACCCAGAGGTCACAGCTCTGACAGGAAACTGTCCCGCTGAATCCACTCAGTGATGTGTTTTTATGACATAATCCACAGATATAAACCTCCGAAACGACACAACTCACTTCATTTGACACATAATAGCTTAAAATTAGAAAGTAGCTGAAACTTATCCGTCACGTTATGAAGAACTTTGTTTATAAAATATCTCCAATGGACTGATTTTACTGAAGCGTTCAGGGAATAACTGGAYGTTTTAACTACAACAGACGGAGGCACAGCGGTCGATGTCACCTCAGAGGAACGAGGTCACAGGTTTGCCTCCTGTGGGGGGGCTTTCTGGGTGGAGTCTGCCCAGTTTAGTGCAAAACGTTGCACGGCAGATTTTATTTCACCTTTAAAGCAGGAAAAACCATCATATTTCTAAAGCTGCACCAGAGTTGGGTAGTAACTTACTCACTTACAGTTAATTTTTTTAAAATGTACTTTTAGGAGCACTTTTACTACGCTGTGCAACTTTTACTTGAGTATTTTTTTCATGAAGTATCTCTACTCTTGAGTAAACTTTCTGATCCTCTGCTCACTGTGAGTAACTTCACTGAATGAACAACAAGCTGGTTTCACCAAATATTCATCAAACACACCTGCAGTTTTTGTTCATTTATAACAAAAGGAACTGATTTGGAAAAAACTTTATTTTGCTTGAATTTGTTATGATGTTATTTATATGAATTATTTTTATTTTTATCTTTAAATTACCAAAACTGTTATATTTTGGTTCGTCAGATGATGTCATTTTAAATATTAAGTGATTGATGTGTTGATCAGCCTTTTTAACAAATACTTTTTTTTTTACTTTTACTTGAGTCTTTCTTGGATGGCTACTTTTTAATTTTGAAAAAGTAAAGTAGTGCTACTCTTACTTGAGTACAGTTTTTGGGTACTCTACCCTCCTCAGGACAAAAGTGCGTCAGCGTTTTCAGTTTGGCTGAATGAAAATCAGTCACGTCATTCGTAAAATAATTTGTGTGTACCGTGTCGTCAGAGGTGTTTGTGTTACATTTTGTCTGTTTTGTTGCTCTTGTTTTATAAACTGTTTTTCTTTTTTTTATCCGCTCAGGACAGCAGATGAATTTTAGTTGTGGTAATTCTGGCATATTTATATTTACAGAATATTGATTAATGTGCATTGCATTATGAAATAAATAAATAAATAAATAAAAAATCTGCTTCAGTTTCCTCATTCCAACATGTCGTTCCTATCTGTGGTTTTTAAACTTTATAACTCATCCATAAAACACGAAACTTCAGGTCGTCTGTCACTTTAATCAAACAATCTGTCTTTATTTAATCCAGGAAATGTCTCATTTTATATCTTATACCTTCTTATTTGGGACATTTTATTTATTTTCTGTGCAACACTTTAACATTAATGCACACTTTTCAGAAGGCTCTTTCCTTGGAGTGTTTGTTTTATTCTAATGTCGAGTGTTTATCTTATTTTTACTTGAACAGTTGCAGCTGTAACCTGTAATTTCCCTCTGGGATCAGTGAAAGTATTTCTGATTTTAAAATGCAGTGGGCGATGTCTTCAGCAGTCAGTCCAAAAAATAAAATAAAAAAAAACACTAAACCAGGAAGATGAGGTCAAGTTTTAAAGCCTGATTTTATTTATTTATAAATTTATTCCCCACCTGAAAYGCAGACTCAGCTCTGACAGATTACGCTGAGTTAGACCACCTTTTAAAGGAAGTGTTGGCACNACCCCTACCACCCAACCCTTCCATCATTTTCACCGAAATAAAACTAAAAACCTAAAATTTCAAAATAAAAGAGTTAAATAAAAGGGAAAAGAAACTAACAGTATTTTGAGTTATTATGACAGGTGATGATGATGAKGAGGAGGTTGCTAACTGTCGTGATGAAGGTGATTAAGGTTCATTTTTTTTCAGCTCGGGTTGAAATTTATCTCATCGCCGAAGCTTTCCTTGTTCCAGACGTGAATCTTCATTAAAAAGTGAGAACTTTAGAACTCGGGTTTAAAGACTAACATAAAAACAACAGGGAGGCTGATTTATTTATTTATTTTTTTATGTGCAGCTTTTCTACTTAAGAGTCAGTCATT